AAATATATATATATATATATATATATATATATATATATATATATATATATATATATATATATATATATAATTTCAAAAGTGTAGTGGGTTCATGATAATAGACTAAAGCTAAACTCGTCAAATATAAATTTTAAATCCACCTCTTCACAATAGTACACTCATTCTCTTGAAATCCTGGATCCGCTTCTATTTATGTGTACAAGGTATAGGTAAGATTACGTACACTAGATAATAGATATAGTTCAGACCCACTAGTGAAATATATTGTATATTATTAGTATTGATATCTGGTATACAAAAAATAAATTTTGTTACTTATTCTTTTTAGCAAATCAAGATAGAACTAATTTTACTCCCTCGGGTTTATTTTAGTTATCGTGGTTACTAAAAATAGAGAATTTGAAATACTTATTATTTTAGAAAATCAAATATAATTAATTATTTTTGTTTTACTTTGTTCTTAGTATTAGTTATTCTTGAAAGTAAAAAATATTAATTAAATAGCATATAAAACCTAAATTTAAAGAGTAAATGAGCATATAGTAGTATCAAGTTTTTGACTGACTCCTTTCCCTGACCCCTTTACATCTTTAATTATCCCTCTTTTTTACTCTCTAGATCTTCATTGCATCTCCATTTGTTTTTCCAAAAAACTAAGCTCAATCCAAGAAATGGCCATAGCCATGCAAAACCTATTCAAAGAACGCAAAATCCCATTCTTATTCATCTTTTTTCTTTTATTAATCTTTATCACTTTCATCTTCATTTCCAACTCTCAAAAATCCCCTATTTACCTTGTCACCGACATTGCTCAACCCCAATTTAATCATAGTATTAATCCAACCCCATCTTTACAAAATTTCAAGAATGATAATGTTCTTTCAAATAATACAAAAAATGATGAGTTTGAAACGGATAATTTTGATTGGAAGTTATGTGAAGGTTCAGTTGCTGTTGATTATATACCTTGTCTTGATAATTTGGAGGCAATAAAAGCATTAAAATCAAGAAGACATATGGAGCATAGGGAAAGACATTGTCCTAAGCCAAGTCCAAAGTGTTTGATTCCATTGCCTGATGGGTATAAATTGCCAGTTCCATGGCCTAAAAGTAGGGATATGGTGAGATTGATAGGTTTTTGTTGGTAAGATTTAATTTGTTTTCTAATTTTGTTTTAACTGTGGCTTGGTATGTTCTTTTTTTTGTTGCTTGGTTTAATGACTTTAGGAGTAAATTTTAGTTTAGTGGAAGCTGGATCTTAAAGTGGTTATAGCTACTAGATTTTATTCTTATAGTACAACGAGCGAAGGGGAGCTTTGGTGTAACTGATAAAGTTGCTGCCAATGGAAATAGTCTCTTGCAACTGCGTATAATAGACCCTTGTGGTCCGACCTCTCCCCGGACTCCGCGCATAGCGGGAGCTTAGTGAGCCGGGCGACCCTTAGTACAGATGTGTCATAGAGTTGTAACTGCCAGATTTTATTTGCATAGTACATACTGTCATAGAGATGTGAGAAGCTTACCTTTAGCTAAGGACTGACTGTCCTGTTACCAGTGCCTTTATTTTGGTGGTGGTACACTAGTGTGCTTATTAGTGTTGGGGCTTTGATTGGGAAAAACATATTTTCCATCTAGTCAGGTGTTGCTTTACTAGACTTGGGACCAGAAGCAAATCTAGGATTTAGAGTTATTGTGTTCAGAATGAGCGTGATCTTATTATATGTTTTCCATACATTTAACTATATTTTTGCATATTTATATATATAATTTGAGCATAAGGCAATATATGGGTGCAACTGAACTCGTACAAACCACTCTGGTCTGCCTCTGCTGGGTAATTTCCTTAGCCGGCTTTTGTGGACAAAGAAATTGGACATTCATCAATGCTGACATTTGTTTTACATTCGTGTAGTGGGTAACACGGTCTGTAATTAGATCGTCAGTTGCAGAATCTTTCACAAGCAGTATTTTTCTCTTTCATTTTCCTATTTATTCTCGTGAAATGAAATTGTGAATGGCGCAGAGATGGCTGAAACCATATGAGCAAAAGATGATTTGAGATGAAGCTATTCCCGGAGTGTTTATCCTACTATTCTGGTGATGACATTTTTGAACGGTGTGCAATATCTGCTGGGCTATAATGGTTTACCAATTAACTCTTTGCAATTATTGGTCCAAATACGGATTATTGTAGATCCATTAACTAGTTTTGTATCATTCCAGTTCAACTTTAGTGAGCATTATAGGTTCAGTCGTTCAGATATGGATTGATTTCCTTTTTATTTACATGTTGCAATCCTCTTACGAAATTAATGTGTGTTTTTATCCAAAAGCGTATTATTCAATTTAGTGATATATTTTGTTCTGCTTGTAAGAAAATAACCATGAATTAACTGTTTCGTCGTTTATATTTAACTTTGGATAGATATGGTACAACAACGTTCCTCATCCTAAGCTTGTGGAATATAAGAAGGACCAGAATTGGGTGGTCAAAACTGGTGAATATCTTGTTTTTCCTGGCGGTGGAACACAGTTCAAGGATGGAGTGACGAACTATATTGAATCCATTGAGAAGGTAGTGTGCCTACTTTACATACTTATTGTTCTTCTTCGCTACAATCGCATACAGTATATGTTTACTGCGGTTATATTGTATTGGATGTCATCCTTGTCCAAGTTCGTTCTTTGTGTTTTGTTGAATTTTATCCTTTTCAAGTGAATGAAATTCAAATTCTGGTCGTACTTTATAAATGTGTAATGCGACTGTTTGGAAGATGTCACAACTCTGATTGTCTCTATACATTGTTGTGCGACCACTTTGAAGGGATAGATCTTTCTGCTAGTGACAAAGTTAGCACTGGATCAACTTTAATAAACAGCATATTGCATGTCCTGAGTTTTATATGAACCTCTTAGACATGTAAGTCAAGTAAGAAAAGGTCTGTTCATTTGTCTAGAAATATGTTTTCGGTGTATCTATCGACTGAACCAGGGGCTGGACTCTTGTTGACAGACATAAGAAGTGGGATTAAGAAAAGGGGAAGAGCAGCTCTACTCATACTTCTGCTTATGGAACGACATAAGAAGCGCCCTATAAAACATGTAAGATACGCAGGGTTAAAGGGTGTTAGATAGAAGCCAAGGGCTATACATGTTCGTGTACTGTGATTCAATACTAGGTAATAGGATTGCTCAACTATATCTGATAAAAACAACTTTATCCAAGCTATCTAATCATCTTGTATTTGTTTTATAAGGGATCGATGCATGCACTAACACCTATTTATTTCATATTCTTTCACGATTTTGTATGTTGCCTGCTGAGGGATTAGTGGCTAAGAAAGGAGTAATTTGAAATTGAAATTCTTTGAGTGATGACTTTGGCCCCTTAAGTGTGCAGCAAGTACTGGAAGAAGACAGTAGTATCATTTCATTTTATTCTCATTGTTTTTTTGTTTTTTGTCCTTCCTTTTCTTCTTCCTATTGTTTTCTTGTTTATGAGGGGGGATGGGGGAGTGGGGGGGGGGAGGGGTCGGCGGAGTGGAGGGTATTTGTTTATCTTTCTTTGGTTGTGCGGTCATTACACTCAGAGTTTAGTGATGATCCCTGCAGCCCAACAGTGCTGATTGTATTTTTAACCTGAGATCTTTCTTACTTTTTCATTCAGACTTTGCCGGAAATTGAATGGGGAAAGCATATAAGGGTCATTTTAGATGTTGGCTGCGGTGTTGCTAGCTTTGGTGGCTATTTGCTGGATAAAAATGTCATTACTATGTCGTTTGCACCAAAGGACGAACATGAGGCTCAGATACAGTTCGCACTCGAGCGTGGGATTCCCGCTACTCTCTCAGTCATTGGAACTCAAAAGCTGGCATTTCCCGATAATGCTTACGATATGATTCATTGTGCAAGATGCAGGGTTCATTGGGATGGAGATGGTAATCGCTAATTCCAAATTTCCAATCCTATCAGCTATATTGTTTTACTTGGTAATCAATTTCAAAAATCGCAGGAGGAAAACCATTGATGGAACTAAACAGGATACTTAGGCCCGGAGGTTTTTTCGTGTGGTCAGCAACGCCAGTTTATCGGGACGACGAAAGGGATAAGAAAGTCTGGAAAGGTTGTTAACTCATTGATAAATTCATTCTGTTTGTTGTCAATAAATTTTATCGAAAATCTATGTGAAGGACAATAAACCAAAGAGCTGCAAATGTAAATCTTCTTGAAGTGAGTTTGTTATTCTAAGTGGCGCTTTACTTTCCTTCTCGTTGCAGCTATGGTTTCACTGACTGAAGCAATATGCTGGAAAGTGGTGAAGAAGACCTTTTTTGACTCGGCTGGAGTTGGGCTAGTTATATATCAAAAGCCAGTTACATCTTCCTGTTATGATAATCGCAAAGAAAATAATCCACCCCTATGTGACCAGAACAATAGACCAAATAGTTCATGGTATGCTCAATACATTGAGTATCATTATATCCTTAACTTTATCACATGGTCATCGTTCCGCCTTAATCATCTTTTTTATGTCCTATGTCCAGGTATGCGCCTCTTGACAATTGTCTTGTACCACTCCCGACAAGCAGCATTGGTAATACATATGAGTGGCCTGCACCCTGGCCCCAGAGGCTCAACAATAAACCTCAACGCCTCTCCCTAAAAACAGATGCTGAAGAGGTTTTCGACGAGGACACAAAACACTGGGCAGCACTGGTGTCGGATGTTTACATAGGCGGCCTTGCTATAAATTGGTCAAGCGTGAGGAACGTGATGGACATGAATACCGGTTATGGAGGGTATGAGAGTTATATGTTGGAATCGCTTTATCTTGTGTGCTTTATTTTTTCTGCTCATTATCTTGGGGCATTTTCCATGGTAATTACAGGTTTGCCTCGGCAATAATTGATCGACCCCTATGGGTAATGAATGTCGTTCCCATCACTGGGCCAGATACTCTCTCCATTATCTTTGATAGAGGGCTGATTGGTATGTACCACGACTGGTGCGAGTCCTTCAATACCTATCCTCGGACATATGATCTTCTACATTCCAGCTTCCTCTTCGGAAATTTAACTCAAAGGTTCAATACATACCTTCTCATTTCTATTAACGATCTTTTTTTAATATGAACGACACAGCTATTTTAGTTTCATTCCTTTTAGCTTGCTTGCTTTTTTAAGTATCCTCATTCCATTAAGAGGTATCTAGAAGCGGATTGAGCGTATATATTATGAGTTCAACCGAACCCAATATTTCCAACACAAAATATTAAAATATAGTGAAAAACCATGAAAAAGGACAGCCTGGTGCCCTAAGCTCTCGCTATGTGCGGGGTCCGAGGAAGGGCCAAACCACAAGGGCCTATTATACGCAGCCTTACCCTGCAGCAAGAGGCTGTTTCCACGGCTCGAACTAATGACCTTCTGGTTACATGGCAGCAACCAAAATTTCAACTAAATATTGTATATTGAACTTGTAATTTTGAAAGTACAACGAGTTCAGTACTAAGAACCTTAGAGGTTGAACGCATTAAGTTTAAATTCTGAATCCACCTCTGCTGATATCCTAAATTTTCTCACGAGGTGATCTTTTTGGTCTTTTTATATCGCAGATGTGACCTCGCGGAAGTTGTCGTGGAGATGGATAGAATACTGAGACCGGGCGGATTTCTTTTAGTTCAGGACACAATGCAGATGCTTAACAAGCTTAGCTCGATTTTACGTTCGCTGCATTGGTCAGTAACTCTGCATCAAGAGCAGTTTCTTGTTGGTAAGAAAGGCTTTTGGCGTCCAAATAAAAAAGTCAGAATATGAAACGCATAGCTATTTTCCCTTTGTATATTTATATGCAGCTATTTATCTCTTTTATGCATACAAAAGGAAAAAAGAACACAGTTCTCAAATCAAAGCAAGTTTTGTTGTAATGTATTTCAATAGAATTCATTCTTTCCCTCAAGAAACTATCCAAATTTGGAAACGAAGACTTTATATTGGTCAAGAGAACAGGAAAGATTTGAAAATGAAAGTTTATTATTTGTTCAGAAATATGTATGGTTACATATTTTATCACTTGTGATTTAGATATATAAAATTAAGAAGAAAAAAAGTTATATAAATAAGAGTAAGACTAAGTGTTACGTAATTTTGGTGTTATGTAAACTATAGGATTAAAATTCTAAAGTAAATGCTATTTTAAAAGTAGACTGCCACAAAAGATGCACCATAAGCTTGCCCGTAGTGTACTACTCCACTAATCGAGCTCATTCAATCTTGGATCAATTAAGACTTTATTTGGTTGTAATATAGGCTACGGGACGGGTAGGATATATTTAGATATAAGAGTGACTACACCTCCTTAAGCACTTTAATACATACATTTCAACATTTAAACCCCATACTTATGTCAAACCAAAATTCCACCTTCACATCAATGTAAATTACCCCATTATTCTTTAAGCACACTTACGTCAAGAGCCATCACTTATTAAGAATTTTTTTTTTCCACAACAATCCAACTATATATTTTTTTTTTTCAATTCAAGTGGCTCTTCCTTTTTCAAAACAGTGCACCTTTCTCCTTATTCAATTAGTTCCACTCAAAAGCCAAAGCAACCACCCCACACTTTAACTTTTACAAAGTTCATAACAATTCAAGTGCTCATGAGAGGTGAAAAGGTTCAAATAGATGATTAATTCAAACAACTGGGTAAGGCTTGTAATGTGGTTGCCAAAGAAAAAGGATTATAGGCTCAAAGAGGTTAACTACGATACATAACAATTAGGTGGGTAAAATATACATATCTGGCTCAACAAGAAAACACCTATATCACTTCCAAGACTGAACAACACTACTATTTCGCTTTGCAAACACACAGGGCAAGTTCTAGGCATCAAATGCAATGCACTGAATAATGCAAAACCTTACACACACATGGCACATAACTCACTCAGGATTGGATTCATAGACACTCTAGTCAAAGCAGTTAAGCAAAGTTAAGATAATACAATTTAAGGTACTTCTACAAGAGTCAAAAACTGAGCACAAGCGTCACAACCAAAGTACTCACTATTCTCAAGGCATAACCAAGTCAAGAGATACTGCTTCAATTCAAAGCACAACACAATGGCTCCTATTCCTAAAAAAAAAACTAACAACACCCGGTTCAAATAAAACCCTTGGAAAAGAACTGTGGCCTAAAGAAAAACCAAGGGGGAGTTAACTACACTACCCAAAACAAAACAAAAAATCTTTTTGGTATTTTCTCTAGACTTACTTCCCTCAAGAAAATTGTCTAAAGGATCCGTCATCAGGAAGAGTTTACATATTTCATTTTTTTTAATTATTCAATTAAACTAACACAATTAAAATATCATAGAAAGTCACACAGATAATCTCCTCACCCCACACTTAAAATTGTACATTGTCCCCAATGCACACCATACTAATAAGAGGGTAAAAGAAACTCCCTGGTAGGCCAAAGGCCGAAGCACTAGCAGCTCATGGGGTACCAAGGCTTCTCCCAAGCTTGGTCCTTCGTGCGGGTACCTCACACTTAGTTCCAACCATTTGGTTTGCTGTTGCATCCTTCCAATACCTTTGCTTTCCATGCTCCTAGAAAAAGAAAAAAAATTCGCCACTTGGATGATATGAACTGGGCACCTAGCTTGGAATCAAGCTTGTGACCTCGAGCGATCGGGGGTGGTAAGTTGATGATCGAGCCAAGCTTTAAGTACTTCATTTTGCACTTCTTGGCTTTCATGTGAGGAATGTCATTTTGCCTCCTTGTTCCCTCAAATTGTAAGATGAATGGTTGTTGCCTTTCCTCCTTGCAATCCCTCATTGAGTCGTGTAGATCAATTCCCATATCACCACACGAGTCCAATGTTAAAAAATGCTTGGAATGCGACTTCAAACCTTCATTTTGCAATTTTTCTCGGATTTTGACATCCTCTTTTTCCCCCGGGTTAGAGTCAATCTCAACCAAATTTTCATTTACACCGGTTGACTCTAATCCTATTTTTTTCTCGGCATCATTAACACTCATGGAGTCGGTTGGCGGATGTTCAATTCTTGAATCCTCAAAGTAACGCTCACTTTCTTCCTCGGAATTGGACTCTTCTTGGTTTTGATCAAGTGCCAAGGAAAGATTTTCGGCTTCCACATCTAAGGAAAGTTCTTGGCTCTCATTAACTTCCGAGGCTTTTTGGACCTCTAAAGCTTCAAGCATTTCTCCCATTTGTGAGTAACACCTTTCAAGTGCCAAGTCATTTCGGAGACTATTTCCCAAAAGCTCCTCCAAGGCACTTTGTTCTTTGTTTCCTCCTTCAAGTAAACACTCCAACGTGAGCTTGAACTCTCCATTTCGGCCATGCTCAACTTCTTCAACTCCCATGTCCCTATAATTTTCATCACAAAAAGTAGAATCATCATAGTGGGGGCTTGGGGAAGGGAAGGACAAATAAGGACAATCATCCCAATGACCATTTTGAAAACCACACTTATCGCAAATACTCCACTCATGGGTTTGAGATTGTGCGCACAATCCACCCTTGGGAGAATTTAGACAATTTTGCCACGAGTGTGATCCTCCACAATAAGGACAAGGGTCATCAAAGTATGAACAACTACCATCCGACCAATTTTCATTATATGATGCCATTTTTCAAAACTAAGAAAATAAACACGAATAACAATAAAAATAGACCAAGGTAAGAAAAATTAATTACACAAATATTCACAAGTTGGTTATAGAGAAAACTGACTACACTAAGAATTTTTGTACTTCTTTCAGTTGTAATTGATAACACCATTAATTCCCCGGCAACGACGCCAAAATTTAATCACGCACAACTATGCCTTATAAAAGGACACGCGGACGTTGCAAATATAACCTGAGTATTTAAGCCCAGAGTCGAATCCTCAGAGAATTAACCTATCAATTACTTTTGTTGGATTTACTAAATTCTTTATAATCAACTTCCCCAAACGTTGTAAAGAATAGTTGATGGTATTTCTAATAACTAAGATTGAAATTAAATAAACAGCTTTAAACTAAATATGCTTGGGTTGTAAACAATAATGAGAAGGTTCTAAGGTAGTGATTTCCCCTATTGATGGAATCCCTTCCGGTTATGTTTCATATAGATTCACCAAACCATCTCTATCAATCATGAGCACTCCTTTTACCGTAAATCTCTCCCGAGAAATCACGATAATTTACTAGACGCACTCTCCCGAGATACGCTAGCTGACTTTGTTTATTACAGCTCACTTTAGATTGCACCCAAGGCTTCGTTATCCCTAATCCCGCCTTTAAACCCGCAGTTATAGATCCCTCTTATACTTTGGGAGTGGTGTTGTTCAACAATTACCTAAATATGCACTCTCTTCCGAGTTATGCACACTAAATAGGCACAGCTAATTGAGGATCCTGTCAATTAACTACAACAAACACGTAGTTGAACAAATAGAGATTAACTGGCAAACTATATTAACATAATCAAGAAGTTCATCCTTCAATAGGTTCCATCAAAACCTTAGACTAAAGTATTTAGCTACTCATTAAAATAACAAAAATCACAAAAGAATTCATATTCAAAGGTAAAAGAACAAAGAAGAAGATTAAAGATTGATGCCCAATGATCCTCCTTGCCTCTTGCCCTTCCTTATGATGTTTTTCACTTCCAAAAATCCTTCTCCTCCTTTCTTGGCCGGCTTCCTTCGTTTAATATAGGGTTTAGGGCTTAAAATTCCGTATTTTGCACTTTGGTCCCTGAATTTTACGCGTCCTGCCGCGGTCCTACCGCGGTTACGCCAGGACCGCGGCCAGAGTGGCCTTCAGAATCTGCAGCAGTGTTCTGCTGCGGTCCTACCGCGGTTACGCCCTGTTCCGTTTGGAATTTGGAAAAACGTAAAACATGAAAGTTGTAGCCCTTTGAGTTAGCTTTCCAACCATATATTGTGGAGTCCAAATGGAGTTCTGAGCAAAAAGTTATGTCTATTTTACTAGACAGCGCAACATGCCTCCTCGAGTCTTCGTTCGTACTTAATTATCAAATTTGACCCCCGAATACGATCCCGGCTTAATTCCTTGGGCTTTTACTCAGACTTCAAAGCTCCAAATCACTTGAATTCATTCCATAACATCTATATATCTCGAAATCACTCCTACAAGGCATAAAACACACCGTTAGTGCAAAACACTAGCGATTAAAGCGCAAACTCAACTAAAGTGCAGTAAATTAGAGTGTAATAAGCTACTAAAATATGTAATTATAGTCTATCATCATAGACCAAAAAGAATTTGTTTTTCTACGGCAACTGGAACAGTAATGACACAAGCGAGCAGAATAAGATCACCTCTTGTATCAACACATCCTTCCTTATTCAATGAACAAATCAAATTTTATATTTTTTAATTACAATACAAATTTTGACAAGAATATTTAATTTGTTATGTCCGCAGTGTATAATTTCCACGGATACATTATTACCAAACTAATAATACTAACCGATGATAGCATCATAACAGAGGTCTAAGAGATTTTTCATTAAAGTTTTTAGTAAATTGACAAATCTAATCGACCATTAATTTTATTTGCCACTACGTTGAAGTGGTAAAAATAGCATGGGCTAGTCAGTTTTCAGAATGGTCATTCAAAAATAGCCAGCTTTTGTAAAGTCATCGAAAAATAACCATTATTTTGCTGCAAGACGGAAAATTCCAGCACCTGTGTATGAACTTCCAGCATATTATGCTGGAACTCCAACACGCGGAAAGTTCAATATACTGGAGTATTTTCCCGGATTTTGAACAGTGTTTTCGTTCAGATTTATCGTTACATGAAAAATGGCTAAATTTCGATTATTTTTAAAACTGTGGCTATTTTTGAATGACCACTTGTAAATATGGCTATTTTTAAATCTCTCCCGTCGAAGTGTTATGCACGTCCAGGGACCTTTCTAAGGGCCTGTGCTTGTTCAAACATCCGTACATAAAATTAAAATAACATATAATAGGTAATTGCACGTAACTTTATTTAATAAACATTAATTGATAACATAGTAAAACTGGTACTAATTTACTATCATATATTAAAATATACTCTTAGCGTAAACCATTTCTGCATTGCCAGTGTACTTAAATCCTTATTAATAAACAGATTAGTCGAACCCTAGAGCTGTTCATTTGGATCGGATATCCGAAATCCGAACCGATCCGTTCACTTTCAGATTTCGGATTGGATCGGATTTCGGATTGTGTTTATTAAAATTTCGGTTCGGATCGGATTCGGATTGGTATAATTTTAGTACGATCCGATCCGAAATCCGAAATTACTAAGGCATGTATAAATACTAACCTTTAATTTCGGATAATTAGTACTTCCTTTACATTTTCCTCCAAGTTACAATTGATGGATTTAGCTATATTGGCAGCATGGTACTCTCATAATTGCAGAAACATGAATTTTTCTTACTGTATTGCCTCTTTTACAAAGAAAATATACATATGAGTTTGCAACTTTGAGACATACTAATCCGATCCGATCCAAACTTTAAAATCCGATCCGATATTAATTCGGATCGGATTCGAATTGCGTTTTCTAGAATCCGAAATCCGATCCGAAATGTGCTAAATCCGATCCGATCCATGCACCGCCCTAGTCAACCCCTTTAACTTAAAGTTCATCAATTATTATACTCAAACTTACAAACTTGAGAAAATGGTCATCACGTTAGCAACCAATCTAGGATGAATCTTCCAACTTTAACGAATACAGTTAGTAGTCTTCACGTCAGTGATACAACAAAATCAAAAACAGACTAATGCCAATAACTATATATATAAATCATCTCAATTCCCTCAACATCATCAAGCAAACATTCCAAAACTCACATAATAATCTCTTCCACATCTTTCCAAAAAAATGGAAATTAAATTCCAAGTTATCCTAATCGTCTTCTCCCTCCTTCTTGCACTGGCATTACCATTGACATTCGCGTATGCTCATGTCCCGGCCAAGCCAATGGAGACTACTGTAAACATGGTGATCGAGGGTATGGTTTATTGCCAAAGTTGCGATAACTACGGATCATGGTCATTATCAAAAGCCAAGCCAATTGCAGAAGCTAAAATTAGTGTCATATGCAAAAACTACAAGAAAAGAGTAAACTTTTACAAGGCATTTGAAACAAATGAATATGGTTATTTCTATGCAGAGTTACAAGGTTTTGAAATGGGACATTCTTATTTAGACCATCCTTTACATTCATGTCGTGTGAAATTGGTCTCTTCTCCTTTAGAAACATGCAATGTTTTTAGTAACATTAACAATGGACTCAATGGTGCAAAACTCAGATTTGAAGACAAGACAATTGACAGAAGTGATTACAAAGCTGTAATTTATACTGCTGGTCCTTTGGCTTTTCGACCAACTTATTGCCCACCTAAATAATCTTAACTTATAATTTGACTTCAACCACAAAATTTTGTGCTTTGATCTTATTACAAAAGTCCAATGTCTTTTACAAGAGTTTGTACTATGATTTTTGTCCTTTGTACCGAACAACCTAAACTGTAAGATATTGTTGTCCTGTGTACCAAACAACCTAAATTGTATGATATTCTTGCTTTTTGTTATATTTTTTTCTTCATAATTAATTACTGAAATGTTTCTCCACCGCGCCTTCCTTCCCGTTACCTCTATTCCAGGATGTGCAACTCTATAAATCTCAATAAGTACTTGTTGCACGCATGGGCGAACGTAGTTTTCAACCGGTGGGTTCAATTGAACTCATAATTTTCGACGAATAAAAATTTATATATAAAAATTGCAAAAATAGTAAATATGAACCCATAACTTCAAAAATATAATGGGTTCGGTGCTAAAAACCTTGAAAGTTGAACCCATGGGATTTAAACCCGGATTCGCCTCTACTTGTTGGAGAGAACTAGAGATGGAAGTACTAGGATAAAATAACAAAAGTAGCCCCTTATGTTTGGGATAGGTTCAAAATGGTCCCTTAAATATAGTTTGAGCAACTTTGATCGCCGTCCAAATAAAATTGACAGTAGGTATCTGTGTATATATGTTTCCAAATTTCTGGAACATAAATAGTTTGATCTTGAAGGATATTTAAAGGATTAGCTGCCTCATCTCCCTCTTTATTTCGACAGTACAATATTAACTTACTTCATATTTTGGAATTCACCTTTTGAATTGACGTTGGCGATTTACTATTCATCATGTACTCAAGATTTATTAAGACTATTGAATTGTGTATTGTATTTATCTTTATAATAGTGCTGAGCCAGCATCTTTAGCTTTAGTTAGCTAGTAACGTTAGTTAGTTAGTGTTAGTATTGTGATTAGTTAGTCCATAGCTTTGTATATATGTTGAACAGTGTTAGTTACATTCCATGTAATGTTCATTTCACAGCTTAATCAACTTTCAGCAGCTCCCCTTTTATCTCTCTCTTAGAGCTTCTTCTAGAAGCTTCTGTATCCTCCATTGGAGGGGATTCAGAGCTCGTTTCACACTTGAAATCTCAAAATGGTATCAGAGCGGAGGTTCTATCAGTGACCACGCTTCATCTCGTTCTACTATTTCTGATCATCGAGTAATCTAGGTTTCTTTTTGTTTTCTTCATCAATCACAATTTGGGGAAAACTTGAATCGGTCACATGCAGTGATGATTCGTCGACGAATAGAAGAAATCTCAACTATACGAAGACCGATTCAACTATTTTTCAAGAAATTTCCATGGCGATTACAGAACAGACTGATGAGACAACCACAACGGCGGCGACACAGACGATAATCGATGCTGGTAGCCCTCTTTATATACATCCTTCTGATAGCCCAGGTTCTACACTAGTTCCAGTTCCATTTGACGGAATCGAATATCGTTCCTGTAGAAGGAGCGTACTTAGAGCTCTTTCAGTGAAAAACAAATTAGGTTCCATCAACGGAGATAGTAAGAGACCTGATGTAGCGTCTCCACATTTTCGTTAATGGGGAAGGTGCGACGATATGGTCACCTCGTGGATCTTAAACTCTTTGTCAGAAGACATAACTGACAGTGTTGAATATGTAAACTACTCTGTTGAGCTGTGGAAGGAGCTGGAGGATCGATATGATCAGACGAACGGGGCTAAGCTGTACCAAATTCAGAAAGAAATTAATGATTTGAGTCAGGGCATACTTGATATCACTGGCTACTACACAAAAATGAAGAAACTCTAGGAAGAATTGAACACTCTCGGTGTCAAAACTCATTGTAGCTGTATGTGCACTTATGGAGCGAAAGAAAGCATGCATAAGGCAGAACAGGATAGAAGGTTGATACAATTCTTAATGGGACTCAATGAAGTATTTACGGTTGTTCGAGGAAGCATACTTATGATGAATCCCTTGCCAAACATGGCACATGCATTTGCTCTTCTAATACAAGAGGAGAAACAGAGGGAATTTAGACCAAGGAATTAACTGAATGTTGATTCCACAACATTGAGTGTCAACCTAGGAGGAAGAAATTTCAAGACAAACTACTCAACTGGCTCGACCCTTCTGCGACTATTGCAAACGACAAGGTCACACTAAAGACAAGTGCTATAAGCTCCATGGATACTGATCACGCCCAACTCTAGTCCTAAAAAGGATAAGCGGTCGCCGCAAATATACTTCTTCCCTTAATGAGACAAGCACCATGCGCAGCATGCAAAGAAAAGGCTGGTCACTGTCTAACAATTGGTATAGTGCTTCCATGCCTCCCATTCCAGTACCTGATCCTCCTCCAATACCAAGACCACCACCCAGTCCAGACTCATCTAACAACAGTGCTTCTAGCATTGCAACCGACTTCTTTATTAAAGGAAGTTCAATCCAGTTTCCATCAGCATCTTTTTCCAATGCAGAATTCCAAGCTTCCCAACCACTGCCACCACCACCAATTACTGAGGTGTTTGAGGGAAGGCCAACTCCATACCATAATCGACTCCTGTATTTCCACCCCTCAGCTAAATCCAAGGCACAGCTGCCATATGACACAAATGCGCAAGAAACAGATTCATAAGGTTCAGCTGCTGCTGCTGCAGCGAGTCGTTCCATAACAGTTGCAGATATCTGTCCATTAGGATCGGCCATTGATGCAAGAACCTAGTAGAGATCAGCAATTACTCAGTAAACTACGTCCAATGAAGACAACAACAACAAACCCAGTGTAATCCCTAAGTTATAATATTAAGATTTTTACGTCTAACTAATTAACTAACAATTTAAAGTAGTAAATTGAAAACTAAGGATACTAAAGGTTGGAGAAAAGATTAGGAGGTCTAGAGTTATGATTTTCCCAATTGTCGGAATTCTTCCCGCTACGTCTTCAATAATTTCGCCTAAGTATTCTCTACTGATCGTGAGTACTCTGAGTGTCGTAGCACTCTCTCGAGCAACTACCACAATTTACTAGATGTATTCTCTCGAACTACACTAGCTAGCACTAATTCACCGCTCACTATGATCGCACCAAGGTTTCGTTATCTCTAATCCCATCTTTAAACCCTCCGTATTGATCTCTCACATACGTTAGGAGTGATGTTATTCAACAACTACCTAAATATGTACTCTCTCTCGAGCAGTACACACTAAATAGGCAAGGTCAATTGATGGTCATTCAATCAGCAACAACAAACACGTAGTTGAACAAGTAGAGAAATCCAACGGCTTAATTATATAAAAATATAACAAGAATTCATCCTACAAAAGGTTCCATCAAAACCCTAGATAACAAATTAGTTATTCATAATAGTATGCATAACTACAATACTAGAATTCATAACCAATAATGAAAATAGGAAGAAGGAAGTAAAAAACTCGTAGAAGAATTCTCCGCCTTGCTCCCAGTGTGTTCTTGCCTCCTTAGGCTGAATCCCCAGTCTTCTTAGCCTCATTAGGTCGAATCTGTGTTAAAACTATGTCAAAGGTGCTCAAAATACCATTTTTCCATGTATATATACCAAGTAGGGTCGGGCCCAAACAATTATACCTTCTCCTACGTGAAAAGGGACACTTTTACATGTCAGGACGTCCGGGGCCGCGGATTCAACCGCGGATTTGGCCGATTTCTGCCTCACATCTGCGGCCAGTGCGCGTCTGCGCACTTGTCGCGCATTTTTCACCCTGTTCTGTTTGGAATTTGGAAAAATGTAAGACATGAAAGTTGTAGCCCTTTGAATTATCTTTCAAACCACATATTTAGAAGATCAAATAGAGTTATTAGAGAAAAGTTATGTTCATTTTACTAGTAAGTGCGCAATATGCCTACTCGATTCTTCGTTTCATTGCTCTATCAACCGTTGATCTCCGAATACGATCCCGGCTTAATTCCTTGGGCTTTTACTCAGAATTCAAAGATCCAAATCATTTTAATTCATTCCATAACATCTACATAGCTCAGAATCACTTCTACAAGGCATAAAACACACAATTTGTGCAAAACACTAGCGATTAAAGCTCAAACTCAATTAAAGTGCAGTGAATTAGAATATAATAATCGACTAAAATACGTAATTATAGCCTATCATCAACACCCCATGCTTAAACCATTGCTCGTTCTCGAGCAATCAAACTACAACTCACCCACTTACTCTAACATAAAGGTCACTGACATTACCTTTCTTTCATGAATCAAGTACCATCAAACAACAAAAGAGAGTAGTTCCACACAATAAAATTTAAGAACACTTAGGAACTCAAGATAGAAAGAACTCACTCACTCTCAGAAATAACATTCAGATGCACCATAGGCTTGCCCGTATTGTTCTACTCTACTAATCGAGCTCATTCAGTCTAGGATCAAGTAGGACTTTATTTTTGTTGTAATGTAGGTTGCGGGACGGGTATGATACATTTATGTATAAGAGTGACTACACCTCCCTAAGCACTTTAATACATATACTTTAACATTCAAACCCCATACTTATGTCAAACCAAACTCCACCTTCACATCAATGTATATTACCCCATACTTCTTCAAGCACAATTACATCAAGAGTCACCACTTATCAAGGAATATTTTTTCTTTTCACAGCAATAAAACTATGTTTTCCTTTTCTTTTCTTTTTTTCAATTCAAGTGGCTCTTACTTTTTCAAAACAGTGCACCTTTCTCCTTATTTCATTAGTTCCACTCAAAAGCCAAACCAACCACCCCACACTTTAACTTTTACAAAGTTCATAACTATTCAAGTGCTCATGAGAGGTTAGAAGGTTCAAATAGATGGTTAATTCAAACAAACGGGCAAGGCTTGTAATGTGGTTGCCAAAGAAATAGGATTACAGTCTCAAAGGGATTAACTACGATACATAACAATTAGGTGGGTAAAATATACATATCTGGCTCAATAAAGAAACGTCTATACACTTCCAAGACTGAACAAAACTACTATTTCGCTTTGCAAACGCAAAGGTAAAGTTCTAAACATCAAATGCAATGCACAGAATAACACACAAACCTCACACACACATGGCACATAACTCACTCAGGATTGGTTTCATCAAGACACTCTAGTCAAAGCAGTTATGCAAAGTTAAGCTTATACAATTTAAGGTACTTATACAAGAGTCACTGAGCCTAGGCATAACAACCAAAGTGCTCACTATTCTCAAGGCATAACAAAGTC